TGACTCTCAACTCTCATTAACTCACCTGCTAAAGAACGAGTGAATAGCCGTTACGTACTATTACATATCTTCAGCATATAACGGTTTTTGCCGTTTTGTTCTGTAGCTTTACGCCGAGATCCCAAATAAACCCGCCACCACGACGTCGAAATCGTCGCCGTTAGTCTTTGCCGCTGTCATGTCTGCCTTCATTTAGGACATTCTTAATAACCCCGGTTTGTGTGTGTGTCCAAGTTCAACAAATTTTCTCATTGATAACAAAACTTGCACGGTAGAACCTCATACTCAAGCGTAGTACATCTCTCAGTACCATTCACTGCTCCACTCCTCAAATATCAGGTCGTATAACAGTCCAAATTTTTTTCGTAGCGATGGATTTGACCAGTACTTTGCGCTCGGTAGTGGTTCGACCTTCTAAACACGAATACAGTCTTGTTCGCTGCGGATGCTAGGGCTTGTCAGGGGAGTGGGTTCGGCACGGCGCCAGCGGGTTCCTTCCCCAATTGTAAAAGCGGAATAAGCGACAACAATTGGCGGAAAACCGGCAGGCGCTTCAGCAATTTCGGCCCACCTGACACGCCCCAGCATCAGCAGCAGACAAGGCGGTACCTTGTTTGATGTGAAGACGCATAGCGTCCTCACCACATGAGCAGGCGTAATAGGCCAGTTTACGGATTGTCGTCCCCACACAACGAAAAAGATATTTGTGCTTATGGGTTTATGGGTCCAAAGTATCCCTGTGACACGTTTTCAGCACATTTTGCGTTATTAGGTGTTCTGGAGTAGTCATCAGTGCCGCGGAATCCAGACGAACTCAAGCCAATCGCACGATATTCGTGTTGGGGGGGGGGGGTCAAACTACTCCAAGGGACGAATTTCCAGCCAAATCTATCCTTGCAGGAGAATTTCGACTAAAATCTAGCCTAGGATTTGAAGAGCGAGGCAGTACATGGTAATTATTGCCCACCTTTTCATAAGGCATCATTCATAGTCGGCGGCACTAGGCGATTCTTGACAACGCGATCGCTCATCTGCCAAAGCGTAAAAATCGATACGCATCCAATCCAGGTCGCGGACTCCGAGAACTGCCAATGAGTCGCCGCAAACTATGAATGGGGTCTAATTCCAAACTTCCCTTCCTGATGCTATGATGCTTTATTTGCTTATTTTTATCGATGCGCCTTCATGCATGATCTCTACTGACATTTAGCAGTAGACGTGGATGTGTTGAATATTGTCCTCTTGCCTGATCCGTTAAGTTGTCATATACATATTTGTTCCTTCATTTTTTTATTTTGTCATTCTTCACACATTTTCATTAGTACTACACAGTACTACCACACATTGCACTGTGCACCGAGTTTGCTGATGCCTAAATTTACCAATCATTTTCATCAATCATTCATTTGTTTTTCATTCATTCACATATTCATCATAGATTTGTGTTCATATTTTTTTTGTTTACAATTACATATTTTTATACGGCTTATTGCAATACAATTCTTCGATCATAACGCAATAATTTTAGGCGACTTTTCTCGTTGCCCATCGGTCCTCATTGTCATCCCCTTAGAGCTTTTAAGGCAATAATCAAGTAATTATGCGGTAGTTTTATTCGTTTTTTTTTGTTCAGTCTAGATGGTTCTTTTTTAAATAAATGATCGAAAATAACTACCGAACAGTGTACTCAACTGAAATCGGACTTTACTGTACAACAACAAATGACGTCATGATAACCACTCAACAATCATCTATTTTCCTAAATCAATTCTATTTGATTATCAGACAACAACGAACAAAGTAAAGATCCTATCATAACAATTCTTTAATAGTCTTTCTTTATAACATCATATTACACGTCTGATTTCGTAAAAGAAGTTTGATAGTAGTACATTTTGTAAGTAAACGCTATATTACCATCCGAAAGCTTTCTTTCGAGAGACGAGACTTTGCAGACTTCGATGTGCCACGGCCTCATCAAGAGCTTCGTAACTCTGAAACCAACCAGGATTACCAGAATAGTGTACATTTTCATTGTATGGGCATCAGTTCCCATGCAAGATAGGCTCGAATAAGGGCGCTGGGTTTTTGGAAGGTTTTGAAACGCTGGAATGTGCGCTCCCGTTCTTTGCGCCTTTAAAAGAAAAAGCAACCAATGGGAGGGATACAGTGACTCCTCCCATAAAATCAACATGAAATGCGCTCTTGGTATATCACTCTGAGGCGAAATACCAATCTGACCAACAAATCCTCTCACATCTAAGAGGTCGCTAACTGCGGACTCGAAAATTATTGCATAGGACAAACAGGCAATCGGACGCACCCAAAACTCCGATTAGATGTCAGGTGCATGGCGCATACAGAAACTTGAAAATTACCGGATATTTTATTTACGGAAATACGCAAAACATCCGATTTGGAAGTTGTGCAGGTCATATACAACGCTTCAAATGCATAAATGAGAGAGGATACGTCTTCATCTGCAGCTGGGTTTAGTCGCTTTTCGCCATCCGAAACACGGGAGCAGAAACGAGGATGGAACCAAGATCCCGACTACTGCTAACCTCTCCAAGGAAAAATCACGCATTTCGAAGGCAGTGGGCACGACGGCTGGGGGCGGGCGCTTGATACCAACGTCATCGGTGGAAGTGCCGAGTGGAGTATGACCAAACGCTCTATCGCAGCCCTTCCAACAATCCCGCTGGCAATAAGTGCCCGCCTTAGGTAATATTGCCCACTGCTTTCAAGCCGGATTCTGCACAAGGTATGCCAAACGAAAAAAAAAACTAACCGCCAATTTTCCGATGTCTCCATAACCAACCAATGACGGCCGTCCGGATAGCATACGTTCCGCAATTCGCACAATTTCTTCAGCCGTCACACTTTCTGCAAAT